GGGTGGGTTAACCGGGTTTGACCTGGACACACTCGACCCGTAATATAAAACACACAACAAGAACACAAAGTATGACCTAGACCGGGTAAATCTCCTCAGTCCGAATTATATTTCTTACTCTATCTCAAGAGTGAACTTTAGTGAGAGAAAAATTGGATCCCCTCCTCTATCCAATATCATCATATTTATAGAGGAGGATTTGTGACCTTCCCCTGTTCATCCATGGACAAAATAGGAAGCTCGTGGGAAGGTCACTGTAGATAATGGAAGCACTGTACAATCATGGACTTGCTACTAATACAACCAAAAAGCACTGTTCAATCAAAGACTAAAATGGATATTCTCAATCCAATCAACCCTGCAAAATGACAAACATCCCTTTCACTGTGTGCCTCGTGATGGATGAGCGGCGGGGTGTCCTCTTGACCTCTGACGTGGTTCACCATGCCTGAGATACTGGACCAATGTTTGTCAAGTGCGATGATATGACCGGTCACCTTCTCTCAAAGGTTACCCGGTCATTCTTTGTGCTCAACCCGTCTCTGGTCTTCTAGATTGTTCTTTGTAACATTAGGCGACATTTTGGCTAACGCCCAAAATGTGACCGGTCACTTTTTTAGTGGAAGTGACCGGTCAACTTTTGACCCGTCCCAATCGAAGAGTTAACTTCATTTGATGATTGATAAAAGTGACCGGTCATATTTTGACCTGTCCCTTTCGGTTGTCCGGGTCGGGTATAGGAATATACCCATCAGAAATATTCTTCGTTATTATTTTCTACACGCTTTATAAAAGTATCTACGTATATCTGTGAGACATTGTAGTGTCACAAACGGCATCAGACTTGTGTTTTCTAGCATGGTTGGATATGAATTGAAAGACACTTAAGCCCTGTTCTTTTGGATTGGAAAAATTAACTTTCAACTTCTTCCAACTTTTTCCTATTTTTTTAGGTTAAAAAAATTAAAATTTTCTCACATATTTATTTGGAAGATAATTTAATTGAGTGAATTTTTAACACTTAAGTTCTTCCAACTTTTTCCAGTTATTTCTAACTCATTCTAGTTTCTTCCAGCATCCACTCTGAAATTCCATCTCAAAGAAACATGGCCTCAGGAGGGAAGAGTGCAAGATGGCGACGGCCCATTCAAATTAATAATAAAAAATGAGCTCGAGGACTCCCTCAGACCCAGCCCATTCACATTAGTAGTGGAACGCCCACCTCGGGTGCCCCACACGCAGGCCCGACAGAATTGTGGGGAGAGTAAATCAAAGTATAATAATCTCAGTTAGACCTTTAGTGAGACCGTCTCGTGCCCGACATGCACAAAAAGCTATTACAAATAATAAAATTTTAACATATTTATTGTCGTCCGAAGAATCAACGAGCTTGATGTGCTCTGCTTAAACCATTTGAGCCAATTCACATTAATATATTCATTCATGGAGGTGTCAAATGAATTGAGATGATATCACATAATCACCTCACCTCAGCTCATTGTCCTAAACAACGACTGCCGGGCCCCATTTCAATTAATATTCCCCCTTTAGGTACAGATCATATTCACCTTCGCGTGGGGTTCCCTTTAATTGCCCGCCCAAATAATTAACAAAAAAAAAAACTCAAAACTCGTTTGAATTTTTTTTGAACACTAAACTCTAAAATAAAATTGTTTGTGAGCCTTTTATGTTCACAGGCCATTATTTTCTGCAGAGTGATGCTAATACTACGTATGTCTTAAAGTTCACATTTTATGTTTCTCTCACATTTTTCATTGCTTTATGTAAATATTTTCTTTTTTGCAAAAGTTAAAATTTTTTATGCTATAAATATACTAAAATTCATAAAATACATATGGATCTGTACAAGTATATATCAAACACAATTGTCATTTGTAGTGTTAATGGTGATGAGTTTCTAAATGAGTCAATATTTAATTTTAGGATTGATCAAACTTGCACCTACTATCCTCCCAATGAGACAATATACTCCGCACATTATTATATTCTTTTTCTTTCTAATACAGATTATTAAATCCCAATTTAAATCTACACATTTCAAATTAAAATATTTGTGTGCGATCCTTTTGTCTTTAAAAATTATTCATGCAATAATGTGAATAACTAAATTCTTTTCTCAAATGAATGCGAAATTTGTTTGGGAATGACCAAAAAAATGGAGGTAGTATTAATTTTCTTATTTTTGCTCACAAAACCCAACAATGAACAACTCATGATTGAATTATTCATTATTATATCACTTGATAATAATTTAAGATCGTATTAAACATTAATTGAGTTTAGTTTTTTTTTTTGCATAATTGAGTTTAGTTAGGCAAAGAAATGCAATGACGGGACTTACGTACTAGCGGAATCCGCTAGAATTATACGGATAAATTCATTGATATATTTATACGGATATATTCAATGATTTTTTCGTACATTATTGCACTTGCCAAAGACTCAAAGTGTACTGTACTCCCTAATACGGAGTAAATAATTTTAAAAGAAATGTTTCGGCTGCTTCTAATATGTTAGCCATGAGTAGAAAAGGGGATCCAATTTTTATCTCACTAAAAGTACATTTTTGAGACAGAGTAAGAAATATAATTCGGACTGAGGAGTTTTACTCGGTTTAGGTCATACTTTGTGTACTGATTGTGTGTGTTTACTACGAGTAGAGTGTGTCCAGGTCAGACCCGGTTTACCTACCTAGTAATATTTACACCATCAAAAAGAGCCGCCCTTTTTACACAATTTAAGTCATGTTCTCTTTACTTGATCTGAATGATTCTGATCTGATTGAAATAAGTTCTGATATCATCTGGTCTGATCTCATTTGAATGTAGTTATATTGAAAGTTATATAATCTGATTTAAATAAGAATAAGCAATAAGTAAAAATAATTGGTTGAGGAGAACATATATGAGATATATGTATAATCTATTTAAAGAAAGAAATGAGCAATCTAGATCGCTGTAATTTACTAGTTCTCTAACCTGTGCATTGCACGATCATTATTTTGGCACAGGGAACGAAAATATAAATTTAAATTTACAGTGCAAATAGAGAAAACGGAATGAAATTGTTTTAAATATAAGCATTAAAAGTATTACATACTAATATTGATGAATTCATAACAAAGACAAAAAAGACTAAATTAAATGTTCTGAAATACTTCTTTGTAGACTACATTTCTTGTGATATTTGAAAGTCGTAGGTCATCATTACAAATCAAGAACTTCAAACCACGTCGATTAGTCTCTCGGGAGACAGCAACGTAAAGTTGGTCATGACTAAAAACTGATTTCTTGAGCAATAATCCCACATTTCCAACAATTGGTCTTAACTTTTGTTAATTGTTATTGCGTAGAAAATCATAATAGGAAACTGCTTCCTTTAAAACCTTAAAAGAAATCTGAGTATGCGAAGGAGTGAGCGTAAGTCGAGGTATGACTACTTCGTAGCCTGCATTTTTACCACCCATGACTTTTCCTTCGCATCATTGTTAAATGTTTACAAGAGTAATTTTCTTAAATTGCGTGAAAGTAAGAGCATCGACAATGACAAGTAAAGAAATAGAATGTCACACGTTGATGTGACATATTTCAACCAATCAAAGATAATCTAATCAACGTGTGACAAATGAATGTAGTGGCATTTATGCAATTCAAGTCATTGATTTTATCAATTTTTAGACTAATTTGATGTATTTTAATTATTAAAACCCTTCTGCTTCTTTAAAAAAGTCTTGTATTTTATGAAAAAACAAAAAATAAAAAAATAAAAAAAGAAGAGCAGTTGACTCATGCATGGATTGCAAAGCATGGCAAATTGCCTATGACTCACAAGGCATTTTATGAAAATGGATGATGTGGCAGCGTGACAGTGGCAAATCTATGCCACTGCCCATGCTCTAAAAGTATGATTTATCTTGAGATGAAGATATTAACCGATCCATCCTTTTTATAAGGATATAGCAGTAAAAGTATTATATGTGTGCTAGACTATTTGTTTAATTTTGACTATTTACAGTCAAATTTGATAAAATCTGATCATGAATTAGATAAAATTAATATTAAACATTGATAAAACAATAGTTTAGGAATAAGAGTTGTATTTTACTTCTGTTTGAAATGATTTCTTTAATTATAAGTCAAATATCAATTATGAATAATTGAAAAAATTAAAATTAAACAAATATTCTAAGATAGAAATAATAAGTGAGTATTAAATTTGAAACATTTTTTGGAAATAAAATTGGCCCACCAAACTTTATAGCATCCAATTAATCTATAAAAATGTGGATGGAAACAATATTTGTATACTATCTCCGTTGCTCTCTCCCTCTTCCTCTGCAGATAACACTCCAAATTTTGTCTCTCTTTGACTCTTTGTACGGAATTGCATAAAGCATATAAACCACTTTTACACACTTCTCAAACTACATGGACTCACTCCCATCATTTTCCCGGCCGCCGGAAACCCCGACGGAGCCCATGGAGTTCCTCTCCCGTTCTTGGAGCATCTCCGCTCATGAAATCTCAAAATCCATCGCGCCTACCCAATCCTCTGTGAAGAACTTCTTCGGCGGACCTTCCAATGCCGCCCTTTATCTCGCCGGCGACGGCGGACCCATTTCCGAGGGAAACGCCGGCGAGCTTGTTGAAGCCGCCTCTGTTTCCGGCAACCCTTTTTCGTTCGCTTCTTCCAACACTTCTCAGCTTATCATGGAGCGCATCATGTCTCAGGCGGTAAGTTCAGATGTTAAACCTTTACTCACAGCTCATTGTTAGATTATAAAACTTCCTCAAACAGAAAAATTGAATTTTTGATTGATTTGGTTCTTTACCAAATTACCCTTTTTCTTCCCTCAATTTTCTCTTGAAATCTTCCCATTCACTCAACCAACCTGTGAATCTTGATTCTTATATAATTTTTTCAAAACTGCACCTTTTTTTCCATTCTTGATTGTTTTTAAACTTTAGAACTTTTCTTGAACCTTTGATTTTTTTGGGGTTTGACAGCAAGATGCATCTCCGCGCACATCCGGGCGGCTCTCGCATAGCAGCGGCGGTCCTCTCACAGACAGCACGCCGGCCTCCCCTTCCGACATGGACGACGGCCACAAGGTCAGTAACACAATGTTTGATGCTTATCTTTATATATAGTGTTCTTTTTCTTGAAAAGTTCGATTTTTTTCCCCTGATATTAAAATCAAATGAATCGTATGCGTTTTGATTTCTCACTTTGAAGCAAAATTTATGTTTGTGTGTGGGTGTGTTTGTAATAATGTGCAAATTTATGTTTTTTTTTTGTTTTCCTCTTTGGAGTAAGAAGAGGAGAAGGAGAAAAATGTCAGCACAGGGCTCTCTTTGGTTAATCAATAAATGAGAGTATCCCAGAAAAAAATAAGAGTTGTTACTATCATGATGCTTTCCTTGTCTTCATTCTACATTGAAAACCTCATTCACATGTTACCCAAGATTCCCTCCCTTTTCTTGAACAAGCTCTTTTATTTATTTTTTTATTATCTCAACTTTTTTTTGAATTTATGATTCATAATGATGCAGATTGGTATTTATTATTGAATATTTTTTCCCAAATTTACCCATCTCACTATTTTGTGGTTACATTGAATTTGGGAGGTAATATTTCTTTTGAGCCACCTATAAATCATATGGGGTACATTGAATACTGGGATCAAATATAGAATGTGACAAAAATAAAAATCTTTGGGCATACTAAAATGAAATAAAAGAATGGTGGAATAGTATTAAGAATTGATTTGAAGTGAAAGTTGAGGTATGGTGATGTGAGACTGATCATAGTTGGTTTGGGGGTGGTGTAGACAGTAGAAAATGGTAGGATATCTATAGTGTGATGTGTTGTGATAACCAAGTTGACCATTTTGTCCTCGGAGGTGACGGTGTACTTCACGGATTTTTCAAGTAAGTGTTGTTTTTTGTCCTCGAAATGTCTCGCTCCGGTACTTGAAGATGTTTTGACTTTGGGTGCCCACTAATTGTATTAGTGTTTGACAAAATGGTGACCTTAATCAACTTGGGTCATTGATTGATTGACCTTCATATATTGAGTGGGATTACCAACAATTTGGGCATTAATCTTCTTAAAATTGGTAAAAAAGTAATTATACCATTAATGGAATCCTATTTTGATGCAACAATTCTGCATTCAATTGCTAGAATTCTGCATTTTTGTTATACAACTTTTGTGTGTTGATTTTAAGATTTTATTTGTGTGTTTGTGTAGCTGTTTTGCAGATTAAACAATCTGCAAATGAACTATAATCATCAGTATAGGAGCAACAATGCAACCCCTAAAGTGGCAGTGAACGGAGGAGGCTGCAAGACGGTGGGAAGGTGGTTCAAGGACAGGAAAGAGAAGAAGAAGGAGGAGACGAGGGCCCACAACGCACAGTTACACGCCGCCGTTTCGGTTGCGGGGGTAGCTGCTGCCGTCGCCGCAGTGGCTGCGGCAGCGGCAGCTTCTACCTCCGCATCCTGCAAGGACGAGCAGATGGTCAAGACCAATATGGCCGTGGCGTCTGCTGCCACTCTGGTGGCGGCACAGTGTGTGGAGGCTGCAGAGTCCATGGGGGCAGAGCGGGAACAGCTGGCAGCGGTGGTCAGTTCCGCCGTTAATGTCCGCTCCGCTGGTGATATCATGACACTCACCGCCGCTGCCGCTACTGGTACCTACTCTTCTCTTTTTTTCCTTGGCAAGGTTTTGATGACATTGAATTTCAATATTATGCGATGACATTGGCTCCAGTTGAAGTACCTACAATGCCCAATTCGTAAAATTGTCGGTTACTATCCCTTTGTATCCCCACTAAACCTCTCACCAAGCCCGACCCGAATCCATCCCCACCATCCTCAATTGCATCCCCAAATTTAGTTGACATCAGAATAAAAAAAAGTTTGGTTGTAGGTTCTATGAACACGGTTTCGTGTAGGGTGGGGTATGCAAACATACACCCTATTCAGACCCTACTAATGAAATGTGTCATAACGACTACTTTGGTATCAATCAAATGAGCCATAAGACACTTGAGTAAAATCACTTTAAAAGATTAGATTCAATATATAATCTGGTTTTGACATTTTCGAAAACTATGGCAGCCCTGAGGGGTGCGGCGACGCTGAGAGCGAGGGCATACAAGGAAGATGTGTGGAATGTGGCGGCGGTGATTCCGGTAGAGAAAGGATTTGGGGGCAATGGGAGTTCTTCTTCTTCAAGTGGGGAGCTCATCAGTAATGGCCACCATCTTCTTCCTCTTCCTGATGACAATTTTCTTGGGATCTGCGGCCGGGAATTGGTGTCCAGAGGTGGTGAGCTGCTAAAGCGGACCCGAAAAGGTAATTTGATCAATCATCAGACCATATTCCCCTTGTTTTTTTGGTCAAAAAGAACTTTGAAAAAATGAAAAACCTTTTCTTGGGATCTGAGATCTTTGATCATCACTCACTGATTTTTGGAACCACTTTGCCAATTATTGATTGCAAAAACAAAAAAAAACCCTGTTTGGTAAAGGGTAATTTTCAATTTTGAAAAACTTTTAAAAAAAACAGAGTAAGCCAAACGGGCCCTTAGAGTCTTGATTGTTTTTATTGCATTTCTTGAGTTTCACTCCAATCTTTAATGCCTTTCTGTAGGTGAGCTTCACTGGAAAATTGTGTCTGTGTACATCAACAGAATGGGTCAGGTAGGCTTCTTCTTCCATTTCTTGAAGAAAAGTGAATTTATAAGGTCTTGTTTGGTTCAAGAACAAGAACTTTGATTTCATGCTTTGGCAGCAATGTAACTTTAGACAGTTCTTTTTTTGTGACAGGTTACATTGAAGACAAAGAGCAGGCATGTTGCTGGGACCATCACCAAAAAGAAAAAGAGTGAGTTTTTTTTATGCCATCAAAGAAAGAATGTTTTTTATTCAAAAAAAAAAGAAAAAAGAATGTTTCTTTTCTCTCTCTCCTATGATGTGAGCAGAATTGGATGTTTGGGTCTTTCTTGTACATCTAGGGATCTGAGATAAAGCAGCCTGCAAGCAATTTAGTCATTTAGTGGGATAAGAAGATGAAAAAGATGTCATCTTTATATCTTGTTTTGATATCTTCTTTTTTTGAATGGGCAGATGTGGTGATGGAGGTGTTGAGGGATCTCCCCGCGTGGCCGGGACGGCACTTGATGGACGGGGGCGAGAACTTGCGTTACTTTGGGCTGAGGACTGTGTCGGGGAGGGTGGTGGAATTCGAGTGCAGAGATCAGAGGGAATGTGATGTGTGGACTCAAGGGTTTTCAAGGCTTCTAACTTATGCAGCTGAAAGGAGGAAGGGGGGCATTCTTGGACATGCCAGATACCATTAAAATGGGAACTCTTTGAAAATGCTTTGTGGCTCATTTTCCACCCTTAGTTAATTAATCACATGTTGCCATTAGAGTACATATATGTATTGTTAGTTTTATGCTACTAATCTCATGTGTTTTGGGATTTGGGTGTTNGTGGGGAGTGGATGTCTTTGGAGTTTATGCAGCTAATCATCTTTCACTCTCTTTAGATTCCTAAGTCTTCGTATTGTAAATGAAAGTTAATCCCAAAAAAGCAAAAAAAGAGAAAAAGGTCTAGTTACACATCGTAATGGTTGTCTCCAATTCGCTCGATATAACAACTTTCTCAAACTAGCCGTTTTTATATTTTTTGAATTTTGAAGATATAAACCCAAGTCTTTTTATACTCTTCGTCCAATAATAATATTTTTGTTCATTATTCACAGGGTCAAATATTATTTATTTTTTAGCTTATTTGCGTTGCTCATTTGATAATATAATATAGTCATGTCACTTTTAATTTTATATAACTTTTTATGTAATTTATAAACATGTAACTTTTATTTTTTAATTATATACGATTTTTCATATAAAATAATTTGAAAATAACTTCAGTTAAACATTGCAACCTGCAATGGGAATATTGTTGGACGAAGAGAGTATCTTTCTTGCATACTTTCCTCACTCGTGCGCACCCATGGAACTTCCCAGGCAGTTACTCGTCCTAGAATTGCTACAAGCCCAACATGTTTAACTTTGAAGCTTTTTAATGAAGAACTCTCGAAAAGAAGATGAATCTTATTGGCATGAGTAGTGGTATCAATACTTTTAAAATCTTCCAATTCCATCTTAACACGAGGTATTACAAAAATGGTCCCTTCATTCATTGTCCTCATCTGATGCCCTTTCGGAATTTGGGTATCTTGTCTATCCATGTCTTCGTCATGAAATTGGCAAAAGAATATGGTTGCTACTATCCTTCCACTAAGTATGTCCATGTCTCGCATCATGTAAAGTTTCAAGAAGATAAATTGCCATACTCCTCTCTCTCTCTCTCCCACCTCTTGAGTCACCTAGATCTTCACACTTTTCTGGTATCTTACCACTTTTTCCTGTCAGTTCGTCTGGAGCATGTGCTCTCGCTCACAAGGATTCCTGGTCCGACATCTCTCACCTCTCTCTTGTTAACTCCAACCCGACATCCCACTAGCACACCCATACTCGACAACCATCGCCTGCCCCTCGTCACTACCCCGCCTGTAACTAGAACAAAAAACATACCTAAAACCCACCCCCGTGATCCCACCCCTACCTCGCCCATCCGTCATAACCAACACATTACACCATCCAGTTTGGTAGTATTCCTACCTCTCAAACAACTCTCGAATCACTCCCATTCCTTTTCCCCCACCACCTCCGATCCCCCATATCACCCTACGACTACCCGCGCCCGCAGTGATATTTTTAAACTTAAGCTCTATGCTTCCACTATCCCTTGATCTACACCACCCATCACTGAGCCCGTCACCTATAAATAAACCTCCGAATATAATTATTAGTATCTGGCTATGAATGAGGAATTCAATGCTTTGATAAATCAAAATACATTAGAGCTTGTTCCGGCACTCTCATATCGGGTTCCTACTGATTGTAAGTGGGTTTATAGAATCAAACACAATGTTTATGGCTCCATTTCCACGTAAAAAGCTCGCCTCGTTGCTGAGGGTTAAACTCAGGAGTATGGCCTTGACTACTCTCAAGCTTTTAGTCCTATTGTCAAACAACCGACTATTCAGGTTGTTCTTACTTTGGCGATAACGAATGATTAACCGTTGCTTCAATTAGATTTCTCTAATGCATTTCTACAGAAAAGAGTGCCTGAGAGAATTTATGTGCAACAACCCTAGAATATATTAATCAACAAATTTCCCATTATGTGTGTCTGTTCAAGAAATGATTGTATGGTCTCAAGCAGAGGCCCCTTGAGCACAATACCAGCAATCTGGACTGGTTAAAATGATTGTATGCTCTCAAGATACACCAAAGAAGCACTCTCATTTTTTCATAATCTTGTTTAAATATGTTTAATGGAACTCCAATATCAAAAATTCAAAAGGGAATGCAGGTATTCCGATCCAATCCATAAAATTTTAGACATTGCCAAAGGGCATTGAATTAAAATAAAAACAAGTCTTCTTCTTCATCATCATCATCTAATTCCAATCAGAGACCCCCAAGATCTCAAGAATGGCCAAGAAAAGGTTGATGATATCCAAAAACAGACAACAAGCTGCATCCACGTATTCGTCGTAACTGTATTTCTGGATCAAGTTGTAAGTATCATATATGATGAACCCTGAAAATATGAGCGCTCCAATTGCCCCGCATATCAACTGTATAATGCTTCCCAAATGAAGAAAAAGCTGTAAATATAATTCTGAACATAATTAGGTACTGATAGTCACACCCGATAAAAATACTAAATACAACACGTCAGCTAAATACACTCCATGATGTATAGTTATGTTATGTTATGTTATTACTTAAAAAAATTATATACACTTTTTTTAAATAAAACAAACATTATTATAAATATATTCTTATAATTATCAACCGTTTATTTTAGTTTGTTACTTTTCCTAAAAAAACATATGAGTTTTAGAAAAACTTTAAAATATTTTGAAGCTGTTAATTATACTAAATATTAATTGATTAAAAATAAAATAACTTTCATTGATCTTAAATTTGATGACCAATAATTTTGTATAAACTTTCCATTTCTAAGTATTATACCAGTATGTATTTCCCTATTTCAATTTTTAAATCTAGATTATTAATTATTTGAAAAAGAAGATTATATAAGTTATTATATTTTTTTTAAAAAAATATAAAGCTTTATATATAATTTAAAACTACACACTATTTTACTTTTAAATGCTTTTAAAAACAAAATTTTATTTTAAATTTAATAAACATGCATCATTATTCACACTACAACTTTTATTTTAAAAATTACTGTCATATCCGATTATTAAAAACAAACTTAGATAATGCATACTAGTATTTTTACGGAGCATTGGAAATTAAATAAAAAACTAAATATTTTAGTTCAGAATATAATTTTATAAATATGTTACAGAGTACAAAATTTAAAATATATAACAATTCGTGTGAATGTATCTTTAGTGAATATAGTACTCCTTCTGTCGCTGAGTATTTGTCCACTTTTGATTTTTTTCGGTCAAAATTTATAAACTTTGACTTCAAATTAAATAAAAATGATATTAGATATTGATACGAAAACAGTTTTATTAGATTTATTATATCAAATATTTTCAAAATATTATTTTATCTAATTAATATACAATATATATTTTATTTAAATAAAAGTCAAAGATTTGAAACAGTTGACCAAAAAAGTCAAAACTGGACAAACACCCAAAGACGAAGGTAGTATTTGATACAGACTGATTTCACTGTCCCACATCGGTTAAATGAGGGACTTGATGATGGGTTTATATGGCCAGGGGTTCTTCCACCTTAACAACTAGCTTTTAGGGTGTGGCTCTCCCTTGTGCTGTATCGGAGCCAACTCGGAGTGGTGGCCTACGGAGTGATGGCCTGGTAAAACCAGTCGTGACCAACGTGGCCGTGACAAACATAGCCGTGACCAACAAGGACGTTGGGCCTTATGGGGGGTCGAATGATACAAACTGATTTCGTTGTCCCACACTGGTTAAATGGGGAACTTAATGATGAGTTTATATGGTCATGTGTTCTCCCACCATAACAGCTAACTTTTAGGGTGTGACTCTCCCTTATGTTGTATCAGTATTTTGGTGGGGTATGGGCCTGTGGGCTGTGGCTATCCACTTACACATTATACTAGTCCCAAATTTTTACTTGACGTAAATGTCCTTGTATTTTTTAACGCTAACTCTAAGCATTTTGACATTTCTCAAACCCTACTCTCGTTTCCGCACGTACCTTGATGAGACTAAAGAGGATGAGCACCATGAGGGCAGAGATCAAGATGGGACCAAGAAATGAGAAATCATAGCCTCTCTTGGTAGCCCAGAATGTGTACAAGGTAAGAACCACGAACACCAGAGCCGTTACACCAGCAGCAAGCATGATTGGCATTCCTATTTACACAAACCGGCCAAAATCCACTATTTAAATCCTAACTCTTTCAAAAAATTATTTTCGGATATCCTCGATCTTTTGTTATGGTTTTCAAGTCTCCCATAATTTGAAATGTACTTTGGTGTACCTTCCATTTTCTAGTGAGGGTTAAGATCTTTCAGGTATCACATTATCTGAAATAACCTCCAAAGGTCTTTGAAATTTGTGGTATTGTGCTCCGAGTTTATATTCCGTGTATTTGACCGTTATGATTGAAAATTCTATTACTTTGACAAATACGAAGTACCGGAGTATTAAATTTTACCTTGACAATATTTTACTTAACTTTAATAAAATTCTTTAATTTGCCAAAGGTACGAAACTTTCAATCATAATGTCTAAATGAACGGAACATACCCTCAGAGTATATTTTAGATAATGTGGGACATAAAAGTTCTTACTAGAAAATCGAGAATACGCTAAAGTATATTTTAGATAATATAATATCTGAGAGTTGTTATTAGAAAATTGAAAATATCCCAAAGTGATTTTCTAATAAAATCCCAAGAAAAACTATTAGCACCTTTTTTATATGTGCAAACTACTCCAACCATGAAAGCCAATGCGATAGTGAAGAGCCCCAAAAGAACATAGTTCCACGGATGTGTCTGCTCCCAAATTTTCATTGCTATGAGGACTGTCATTATTATTTTATCACCATACATGCACAAAAAAAAAGTAGAGTAACAAATAAAATACCTTTCTCTATTTCCCAAAATAAATCCATTTTCATTTTTTATTCTTTTCATAGAACTTTTTCATTAATCTCAAGAAAATACATATACTAATTTCTATGAAACCTATCACATCATTCACATCATATCTATTCGCTATTAATTTTTTAATTACACCTCACTTTTATTCATAACATCTGTTGCATCATACTTCTTTCCTATTTTAAAACACTCTCTTTCATTTTTTGTTTTCCTAAAAACAATCATACTTTCTATTTAAAAAATTGCTTTTACCCATATTTTTTTTACTCATCCTGTCACTTCATACTTTTTCATTAATAGTTTATCTTTCACATCTCACTTTTACCATCACATCAAAAAAATTGATAATATAGTAGAATAAAGAATTACGATACTAATAGAATAAGGAAATTAAATATAATAATTGCCGTACCATCACATCATATCAAGGAGTATGTTTTATTTTCCATTATCACTATTACTCCTAATGAATTACTCCCCCCGTCTTCAATTTGATTACAAATTGTAGGTTACGGAGTAAAATTTCCTACATTTTGAAATCATTTTTTTACAAATTGGTATATCAATAAGATATAAAAATTACATATTAAAAAACTACGTCAAAAGTTTTACAAAATAAGAGGCGACAAGAATATTTTATTATATCAAATACTTAATGAAATCGCGTAAACAAACAAAAGTTATCAAGAGAAGAGAAAAAAATTGCAATCTATTTAGGGACACTTCTCTTAAATTTTTCAAAAGTCAAATTGAAAATTATTTTTCGAAATGGAAGCAGTAAAGACACAAAATTCTGAAAAATACCTCCACTGTCCCGAAATAGATTACAATATTTTATTTTCTTCTTATTTTGTACTACAATTTTTGACATAATTCTTTTATATGTATTTTTATTTTTCATTTCAAAAGATAAGAGATTTTGACTTGTAATTTCCACTTTTGTATCAAAACTAGGCGGGAGAGAATAGAAGAAACGAAATTGTAATTTCATGACCACCCTAGTCATGAATTTAGTGGCGTACAATGACACAAAAGCCACAAACCCACTAAAAATGAAAGCTGATTAAAAAAAGGATAAAGGTATCTGTATCCCAAACTTTTGTATCTCATTTTGTACACTGCAAGTTTGCACCGATATTTTGTGTTGGTGAAAAATTAATTTTTGTTAACGCATCAATACTTTGTGTCCGTGTAAATTTTTGTTAATGCACCAACACTTGTGTCGGTGCAAACCATCAAAATATTTGTGTATAACTGCGGTGTACAAATAGAGTACAATTTTGGGTGTAAGTGTAGCATGACCTTTAAAAAAATCCCCGGATTTTTTTTTGCTATGATAGGTATAATAAGTGATTCTGAATATTTTGTATCTTTTTTTCTCCGAAACTGAAAATCTTTTTGGAAAATCATATTACAGAAATAAATCTATCAAAAATCAAAATAAGAATTGTTTTTTAGAAGTTTAGGAACTAACTGTTTAATAATGAACGGATCGGATGGGTTTCCTGACTCGAAGCCGGTACGATGCCCCGTTAGTCTAATTAACAGTTCCTACCTCCGTAAACCCCAATCCTATCCCGACACGAAAACACCCCGCCACCACCTTTCAATTGCACCCCAAGTGAAATTTGACTCTGTGGTCAAGGGGTTCCAATGTTAGAAGTGTGGTAATAAATAAATAAAAAAATAAAAAAATTCCAACACAAAGTTAGTTACTCACTAATGAAGGTGACAATGAATACCGCTATAAGAACGATCAGCCCAGAGGTGGTGGCCATGAACGTCTTGACGGCGGGGGTGAAGAACATGGCGGCTGAGACGGCGGTGCAGACGAGCAGTTGGAGAGAAACGATGGCATATACCTTACGAATGAATGCCCAACGCATCTGTGCCTCCACCCCGCCGCCGCCGCCAGCCTCAATTCCTCCGGCCATCCTTTGAAATGGTTTCAGATTCCTCAGCCTCATATATTTATATATAGTCTGATCTGAAAATTAAAACAACGTAAAGTGGTTGGACGTTGTGCAATTTCTGTGAAATTTCAGCTCTTTTTTTTATTCCAGTTTTGAATTCTAACCTTTTTTTTATTTCAACAAAGACCTTTTTTTATATAATACTCTTTCCGTCTCTCATAGATCTTCTCGTTAGCCCTTTTTATTTGTCCACCATAGATCTTCTCATTACCTTTTAAACAATTAAAATAGCACACCTATCCTCACTTTATTTACTACACTTCACCTATCTCATTTAGTACACTCCACCCATTTTCATTAAGGGTATTATGGTAAATTTGCACCTTTTTTCAACTCTCCTTAAAAACCACAAAAGTCAAAACGAGAAGATCTTAGGGGGACGGAGAGTAAATTTTACTTTTGACTTTTTTCAGTTAATATTGATAAATTTTGACCCAGAAAATGGCTATATCCACTATTTTCACATAAATTTGTTAAATTTGCCAAAAAAATGGCAATATATATCCACACATTTCACATAAATTTGCTCAATCTTCATCAATACCCAACTTATATCAATGGGCGTGGATTTAGCAAATATAAGTAAAATGTGTGGATATAGCAATTTTGGTGGTAGATATAGCAACACCCTATTAGATATTGGTACAAAAATATTTTATTAGATTTATTATATCAGATATTTTCAAAATATTATATTATCTATTTAATTATATGTCAAAAATTGAAAATGATCAACTAAAAAAAGTTAAAACTGAACAAATACAGTAAAGCAATACGGAGTAATATACATTGTCAAGTCAAAAGGTTTCCGGACTTTATGAAATAAAAGGCACTTTTTTATATACATACATTAGTATACTCGATTTATGTCACAAGTGACTAATATCTATTCTCATCATAATTCCATTGTGAGCTTTAGGCTTTTAGGTAAGATAATGCGTAGTTAAGGTAATCAATATCAAGTTTTTTTAATAGTTTAGACGTAGTTATAGTTTAGAAAATTTTTGACTAGTTAATGGGTAGTTAAGGTAATCAATATCGAGTTTTTTTTTCAATTTTGACTTTTTTTAATGTGTGGAGCGGCTAATACCATACCACTAATTGTAGTGGGTAATTGATGACCGATTTTCGCTCACAATTAATGCATGTTAGACCGATGATGACGACAAAATAGATTATGATTACTTGCCATGTACTCCCTTCGTTCCAAAAAGATCGTTACGTTTCATTTTTTTGCGCATCCCTTAAAATATTTTTATATCGTCTAAAATGCCAAAAAAACTTTTAAAACAATTTCATCTTATAATAAAGAGTAAATATGGTAAATTTTAGAAATTTTAGATGTGAGTAGCATTGCTTTTTGTAGTGCGCAAAGAAATGAAACGTAACGATCTTTTTGGGACGGAGGGAGTATGTGGTAGTATGCAGGCTATAAATAAGAGGAAAATCTCCATTGTAAATTTGTAACCCATTGACGACGGTGCTCATTGACAGGATATTAAGATGAGAATTACATAGTCTTATGTCAAGAATATCATTGTACAAATCTAAATCATAGTCTCGTTTTCAAACAACACACTATTTGAGTGGATATTTCTTTGGCAATAAATAATGGTTGGCCGTTGCATTAGTTGGATATTTCTAACACTACAAAAATTTGGTCAAAAAATGACGGAAAAATTCCATCGCCACTCTCAATTTTCCGTAGGGAACTGAGCACAACGACGGAATCAGCAACATTAGCATTTCAACCGTCCCTTTTTCATTAATATTGAAGCTGATGATGGAAATCTATAGTCCGTTGTTATAGGCAATAGAAACTGGGGACGTAAAAGGTGACGGATAATTTCTGTCGCCAAATGTAGCGACAGATTTTGTGATTAAATTGGAAATTCTGACCATGTGACGATCGATTGAAATTCCATCGCTAAATTGACTGGCTCTGCTGTTAAACAACTATTTTTTAACCAAACCAAACAACAAATAAAAAAGTCAGATTCAAGCAATCACAACCGCTCCAAATCCTCACAATGACAATGCTTATCAATAACCAATCACATTTCAACAAAATTCAACCATTAAAGCATATGCAATGGCAAGGCAAGTGGTTGCCTTGCATGCCCTGCCATTAGTGGAGTGGAAGATAATACAATGGGAGACAATAATTGACTTGCATGGAATGGGGCGAGGCACCACTATATGCGTGGCTTGTGCGAGGAGAAACGAGCGGAACAATGCATGCTACTGATTGGACTGAATCCTTGTTGTTTTTTCTTTCTTCTTTTTTTCGGTTTTTTGCATGCCACCTCTGTAGCTAATCTTTCTTTTTTTGTTGCATGTGTTTTGCCTAACTTCTTTTTCTTCTTTCCAAATCCAACTTTTAAAAAAAAAATCTAACCCTTTTTTAAACAAAAATACCAATTCATTTTTTTAATTATCTATGTTGTTTTTTTTCATTTCAGTCTATTTTCTTTTATAAACATTTTAAGATATTTTCTAAAACTAAAAATACATATTTTTAAAACTAGTGTTTTAATCCTAGATTATACTCCGTACAATTTAAGTAGATAATTAAACTAATTTTTAAAAAATAATGTTTTCTCTATACAATTAAAATCTTTACAAGAAAATAAAAAATGTATTAAAAAAATGAAAAATAACACATGAACTAATTAAATTATGTCAAAATGATAAAATTGACAAATAAACATTACTTGCCATTCTAGGGCATGCTACTCTAATGGAATGCCACTGTGTGACTATGCATCATTTGATTGGTTATGTTGAGCCACGTTACCGTGTGACATTCCAGAACACGACTTGCCATTGCCTATGCTCTTACAAAAAAATGTTTTAGCAAATCTAATCCACAACATAAAGCATCGTACATAGCGAATAAAGTCAAGTGAAATTACAAAAGAGTTTTTTCATAACTATGTCAAGCCCCTAGACACCCCCGTTCCTCCTGTCCCTCCGTGCCCATCTCCACTTCTTGATGGGGAAACTCCTCCATAGACCCGAGCTATCTCTAGTATTTTATTGTTAGCAATTCACGCGCTTGAGATGATCTTATCTCGCCAAGCTCTTTCCTCGTCACGAGGGTCCCACATTGAGCTCTTGCTGGCTCGTCTCGCCTGGCTCTCGTGCATTCGTGGGAGGCTTCGTGCAAGATCTCCAACACTGTGAACACGATTCTTAGCATCATGTTTACCGATTTAGAAATAGCACAGTCAGAGAATGATAAAAGAGTGGAGTGGTAGATGCGCGCTGCACTGGCAAGTTATTTTTTTCACTTTTTATATTTTTGACATATTTTAATTATTCATTTNCCCCCCCCCCCCCCCAAAAAAAAATAGAGCTTGGTAGACCAAAATGACACCGACATTATTGCTCTTAATTACCTTAATCCCCGCTCGCATAGTGGCATGCCTACATTTTTCTAACTTTAATGCGTTATGCGTAATCAATTGCGTATTTCCCCTTTTCTACCATTTGTTTTTAGACAAAAATTTACCATTAACCCTTCAATTGCTTATTGATCTTTCAAGTTTCAAAATTTTATGAATAGTCTTTCGAGCATTCAACAACCACTTTCATGAAATAGTTTCACAGATCCTAATTTTTTGTACTCTATCTAAAATACCTCAAAATATCTTTTACTTACCGTAAGCGCTTGTTCTGTAGGGCTTGAACTCTTAATTTCCAAATTCTTCCAGTTTCTTACTGTTCTTCCAGTTTTTTTCCAGTTTTTTCCAATTTTTTCCAATTTTTTTCCAGTTTCTTCTAATTTCTTCCAATTATTTTTATTTTATTCAAACTCTTTCTATTTTCCGACCAATTATTCTAAAAATGATTTATTATTATTATTATTATTATTATTATTATTACACCTATTATGTTCATAACTATAGTTTATAAATTATTTTATTTTTCATCTCACTATTTTTATAATTCACAAAGATTATTATTTTTTCTTCAACATTTTAAGATTAATAATACCATTTTTTGTATATTAATCTACAGGATTAAATAGGAACCATCAATATTTTAAACTATTTAAAAAAACTATGGATAAAATAGTTACATAAAATTTTTTATTCTAAATTTATATAATGAAAACATCAATATTTTAATCTAAAAAATAATAATTGAATGGGGTGGGGAGTACTATATTATGAAAACCAAGCGAGATCTACATTACGAGGCACTTTTTTTTACTTCCTCCGTCCTATTTTATAACGCCTGTTTCGGTTTACGATGTTTGACCGAAATTATTTTCAAATTATTTTATATGATAAATGATATAGATTTAAAAAATAAAAATTACATATTTAAATACTACATCAAAAGATCTACAAAACTAGTAGTGACAATAGTACTTTATTTTATCAATTTGCTGACGAAAATAGAGAAAAAGAGTGAATAAAGTTTAATCCTATGAATAGTGAACATACATTATAGTTTGGGACGGATGGAGCGAGTAAAAAACTAAAGACTAAAGACTCCGTAGTTTTAATGCAGTTTGAATTGGCGCCATCCCCCTCCCCATTCCGGGCGGACATTATAAATGCTACTCCGTAAATTCATCACAGGCAAATAATAATTCACAAAGCCTAAGTAATAATTCACAAAGCCTAAGTAATTAAGAATAAACCCGATCCTAATTAATATGGGCGAGTGTTTGGGCTGGGCACGCGGCGGCAAAGTTTATGATGGGGAAGAATGGCCCCGGATTTGCATGCTTCACGCCACCATTTCTATTCAAATGTTCGTCGGCACCGCCGTTTTCGCCGCCACGTTCTTCACCCCCGCCGCCAATAAGTTCTTCACTGCCGGCGCCCCCTATGGGCCGATCCTCGTCATCGCGGTCTCAGTCCTTCTCGTCGTCATATGTGAGTAAATTCAATTCTAGTATGCACAAATAATCTCTTGCATGTCTTTCTTAATGCCACTTTTGTTTGTCCCACAAAAGATACTCCTCTTATTTTGACCAAGTATAAATATAAAGAAGTTTTAAATTGTACTTCCCGTCCCATAAAGTGTTACCAATTTTGACTAAAGTTGAAATTAAGAGAAGGATAATTTTGTGTTGACTTTCCAAAAATACCCTTGATGTGATAGGTAAAAGTAGGATGTGATGTGTAGATTATTAGAAAAAAGGTATGATGTGATAGGTAGGGTTTGAAAAAATAAGGGGTAAAAGTGGTTTTTTAATATAAATGGGTAAGGGATTGTGTGACACAATTTTTTTGAAACGTGTAAATCTTTTTGGGACGGAGGGAGTAGTTGATTTCTAATTCTGCTTTTGATGTGATGGGGAAAAGAATGTGATGCATAAATTATTAGAGAAAATGTATGAAAGTGTTTTGTTAGAAGTAGAAAAAATCAAAGAGAACGTGTTTTTGAGAAGGGATGGAGTATTTTTTTATTTTTTAATATTTAAAATACCACAATTATCTTATTTATTTTGAAGCTGATTGGGAATAGCGTTAGCGATTAACATTAGCTTTTTGAAAATACTATCTACCAACAGCGCTTAGCGTTTTCAAAGAATTCTGCACCGTTAAAATTTTATCCAAAACGTCAACGTTAATCTCTAACGCTTTTTCCAAACAAGTCCTTTGTTTATTATATCTTCCCCACCTGACCACCTCATTTAATATAAGTGAAATTTTCACTAAATAGAACTAAATAGTGGCTAACCTATAAATAATGAATTGAATATAATGCACCTATATAGTGGCTGACCTATAAATAATGAATTAAAGAGTGGTGTCAATTTTCAATTCAATAGTTTAAACTATTTCATAATATAAATAAATTTATTATAATTTACTTTAATACTTTTAATTCTATTACAATATAATGTGAAATTGTTTTATGGATTTTGTTGATAGGCGTGTCGTAGCACCTACAAATTAATTTATTTTCCTTAACTCTTAACCCCCTTTATGAATTAATACTGATTAAAACATATAGATAGGGCAAGTAAGAGTCGATCTCACGAGAAAAGATACTTTTTAGGCAATGAAAATCAGTTCACTTATCACTTTTATTGAATAAAAACTAACTAAAACCTAAAAAACCTAAACTAAAGGATATGGGGGGTTTGAATGATAATTCTAAAAAGATAAAAATTCAAAAATAAAGACAAGGATAGCAGATAAGAGATGAGAGCTAGAACCAAAACAACCCGAACTCAGGAGAACACTCAGGGAGACACAAACACACAAACAAACACACATTAAACTTTATAAAAACGTAGACAATAAAAATTAACTTAAACTATTTTGAAAATACTTATAATTTTTTGAAGAAAATAAATTGAACAAATCTGATTAACTAATTAATTATGCCTTGATTTTGAAATTAAACTGCTAACTAAACTTAGGGTTAGGTTGAAGAAGAGGTCCACCAACGGTTCTTCCCTATTCTCCCATTAATATTAGCTTATGCTAGGACCAACCCTAACTCTAAACCCTACTACCCTTAGCAACCTAAAGACCGACCTTAAGTTACTACTAAGAATAGCGCATTAAGATTTGTGAAAAATATCACCATAACAACTTTGCAGTAACACTAAGATTATTTAACAAAATCAGTTCGAGAACCTTAATTAGCAAAAACCACTTAGTGAGGCAGCCAAGACTAATCAAGTGACACTTAGTTTCTAGAAAAGTTCGGCTATTTAAAGCACTTTGAACTTTAAAAGAATATCAATATAAACTGGATTAGGTCGCGATCCTAATTTGGTTCAATTTAAGTAAAATCTGGTGAATAATAGTTCTCAGAATACCTCTTTGAGTTTAGATTTAACAATATCGTAAAGCTAAAATTTCTTCAAAGTCAAATTAATTCAACAAAAACAAACAAATCAAAGATTCAATCTTTTTTTGTCAAATAATTTAGCTTAAGAAGGTTTTATAATTTCAATGACAATAATAAATCAAAAATCAAATTTGAACAATTCAACATCAACACACAAACAATTCAACACTTATAATATAACTTAAACATTCAACATAAAAACAAGAATGGAAAATAAATATATTTTGTACTGGATATTCAAATTCATCAATTGAAAATTAATAAACTTAAAATCCTTATTTAAAAATTTGAAATAAATAAAAAACAAAGATGGAGTAAGTGATTGAGACTTTTCCCCTTCCTTGAGCCATGCACAGAGACCAGACCAGAGTAGTCCAAAGCTTCGCCAGATCAGCCGCCATCCACTGCTCCCGCCGCTGCCGCTAGTCTCCGCCGGAATCCAGTTGCCACCGCCATCGCCTGACCCAGGGTCAAACCCTAGGTCGGCCTCTACTCTGTTCTCTCCGATCCTGTTTAATTATACGTAATGCTCTTCTTGTCCTAAAAAGGAAGAGAAATAGTATAAATTTTGTTTTTAAATTTTGCACCTATAATCAAATAAACTGAATTTAAAATAATTTCAGTCAAATCTCGTAAACCGAACTGGAAAGATCATTTTATGACAAGAAGAGCATTACGTATATGTTAATCATACAAATTTTGGTGGTGTCATTTAATCTCACTCCGAATAATTTCAGTCAAATCTCCCGAACCCGCCCACATTAAGGATATTTTAATAAATTTCCACTTTCTTTATTTATCCTTTAAAATTCTAAAAAGTGAATTTAAGAAGATTTATAGGGGACAAACCAATAGAGTAATAGCATTTTCATTAGAAATATTTGCACTAAATAGCACTAAAACTTAAGTCATTTCCCTAAATAACACTTAAATTGTTTTATTCCCTAAATAACACTTAATAATGTCCATAATGTCTTGTGTTAGCAAATATTTACTTGAATAATGACTAATGCATAATGCCTAAAAGTGTTACATTGGGAAGAAAAACACATGTAGTGCTATTTAGAGAAAGTTCCGGAGGACAGCGGAAGGGCGCGGCAAGCACCGGGTTGGCATAGAGATTACGATGTAGTATTATTTATTTCATGTATCTTGGTTTTTTAATAGGTGATCGAATTTATAAGCTCATTCGAGGGTTTCTTTACGATTCTTTACCTCATCGCTTTTCTTTGAACCGTCAGGATAGATTAATAAGGGATTAGGGTTTTTTTCCTTCGTTATAGAAGAAGGGATGTAATGTTTCTGTTGCATAATGAATTTACAACTTAAAACCCTCAACCCCCTGGCTTTCTTCCTTCCTGCATGAACGTACGGCCGTTTGGCCTAGTTCATCTTCCCTTGCTTCTTCATCTTTCTTTTCTCACTACTTCTTGGACTATTAGGGAGTTTGGAAACACTCAAAAGTTTCCCTATGAGTACGGTAACGTATCATTGGTGCTTCCATTGAGCTTTGTTTTTTCCTTTCCATGGCGTCGGACTATAGTCCTCAGGTTTGATCCTCTAAATTATGTTGATTACTTCGGCTTATTATCCAAGGTTCAGCAAAACGGGACGGTCTTGGAATATCAGCAAGCGTTTAAAAAGATTTTGGTCAATGTCACGGGGGTAGACGAGGTGAATCTACAGCCTCTGTTCCATGCCGGGTTAAAGCCTCATCTCCAACATGAACTTATGCTCCAAAAGCCGACTTCGCTGTCCATGTCCTTTGCCCTTGCACGGGAGTTGGAGGCAAAACACGCTGCGTGGGTGACAGCCATTCCATTCCAGCAGGCTGCCCAACGGCCTGTCCACGGAGTTTCTGCCAAGCCGACGCCCTCATCCACTCCACCGCTGCTGCCCACACCGGGACCAACATCGGGAAATAAACAGGCGCCTTCCCCACCTATTCGGCGACTGACTTATGCTGAGAAACGGGAGCGTGACGCCAAAGGTTTATGTTATAATTGTGACGACAAGTGGGTTAAGGGACATCGTTGTGGCCGATTTCTCTTACGTTTGGAAGATGATGAGTAAGAAGATAATTCCCTCTCGATCGGCAGACTTGGAGGAGACCGTCCTTACGGCCGATGTCTCAAGCCTCCATAGCATGGCCGGGGCTATGACGCCACGCTCATTACGTTTATCCGGCATGATTGCGAGCGGCGTTGTCGACGTCCTCATTGACGGGGGCAGTACTCACAACTTCATTCATCCGTTTGTGGTGGAGATGTTAGCGCAGGGGATTATCCAGCCAAGCCGGAGTCCGTTTTCCTCACTAGTGTTGCTCGTTAAAAAAAGATGGCAGATATCGCTTCTGTGTGGATTATAGGGCCTTGAATGCAGTAACGGTCCCTGATCACTTTCCGATACCCGGGTCTCCACGTTACTTTACGAAACTCGATCTTCTTTCGGGGTATCACCAAATTCGTATGAATGATCGAGACATTTATAAGACATCTTTTCGAACGCACGAGGGACACTATGAATGCCGGGTTATGCCGTTTGGATTAACAAATGCACCATCCACTTTTCATGCTTGCATGAATCGGGTTTTCTCCCTATATTTACGGAAGTTCGTCATCGTTTTTTTGACGACATATTAGTGTATAGCCCCTCTCTGGCCACGCACGGCAGGCACCTCGAGGCGGTCCTGGAGCTTCTCTCTGCCCACTACTTCTTTGTCAAATTATCCAAGTGTTCATTCTGTGCTACGTCCATTGATTATTTGGGCCACATCATCACTGGAGGTCACTTGAACTTGATGAATTTATATTAAACACAAACTTAATATTTATAATAGCTACAAAACCACGACTTAACTACGTGCCCAATACTAAGAGCACAAGCAATGGTGATGCAAAAATGGAATGACACACGCTGACGTGAAACATTTCAACCAATGAAAAACAGTCCAGTCAACGTGTGGCAAGTGAGTGGAGTGACATGCCTTGCAGTGACAAGTCATTATTTTTATCTTTTTTTATTGAATTTTCTTGACATATTTGGATTACAAAAAATATTTTACTTATTTATTTTATCATAAAATATTTTTACATACTAAAAAAATAATAGATTTTTTTCCTTCAAAAAAAATAATAAAATGGGAACAACATTGCGTGGTCGTCCTATCTACACATTGTTTCAGGTCATTGTTTTTCTTCACTTTTAACATTTTTTTGGCATATGTAATTAATAAAAAAATTCAATATATTTTATACTCCGTAATAAAGTATGCCTATAAAAAACACTGAGTGTTAGGTTTCTTCTTTGTTCAAAACCAAAAATAAAAGAAAAACAAAAGAGAAATGGAATAAATTTGCCTCGCACATGCCACGAAAAGGGGGTGACTCCTACTTGCCTCACCTAATCCACGCGTGTAAAATTCAATGTGGTAAGACATGGCTATAAAATGACACGCCACTATTGGTGCTCTAACAAGCCTGATACTACAAAACTCTAATACATTCTAATACTTTTCAAGTTGAGAATGCGGATAGCAAATAAACAATTTTGACAATAAAAATAAATAAAGTTACTAAAAAAATAAACTATGAGTACTTGATTTGCTATTGCAACGTATGAAAATGCCTCACAAAGCAAATGAACAACCAAAAATTGATGGCCAATGACTCCAACGCGGGACGAGTAACAGACGGACATAATGTTGCCTTATTGAAACTTGACAATTGACCCCCACAAACTGACATGCCATACACACGACACGTCCAATCAAATCAAATCTATACAAATTTAATATTATTATATTTATTATTATTATTACTACTATTATTATTATTACTACTAGTCTACTACTATTAAGACGACAGTGGCAACTAGGGGTGCATACAAATCAAATAAAATGTATTTGATTCGTGATTTGTATTCGAAAAAGATGATTCGTATTCGCTATATTCGAATTCGAATCCGAATACAAATATTAATAGATTCGATTCGTTTATTATTCGAATTATTCGAATATTATAATTTATAAATAAATTTATATATATTCTAATATATTAAATATTTGTGTACATATTTTAACATATTTTAATATATTAAATTTTTGTGTACATATAAATTTATATATATTCGAATATTATAATTTATATATATATTTTTACATATTTTTACTACATTTTTTTACTACATTTTACATTAATATAAAATAATAATTTAATGTCTTTAAGAAATCTATTTTAAGGAAAAAATTACTAATATTTTCGAATTCGAATATTCGAATACGAATTCAAATACGTCAAATATCTATCGAATCGAATACGAATGTTTTTTAAAATTCGAATTATATACGAATCCGAATTCGAATACATATCACTTTAATCGAATACGAATCGAATAGTGATATATTTGCTTCGATTCGAATCGTATAGACCCCTAGTGGCAACCGGGACAAGCAACAACTCCGATCCATGGATGACCTTCCCCGGGCTAGATTGATCTTTCCGTGGGTTGGATGAAGGTAGTGGGGAGATAGAAATCATAAATTGACTTGTTTTCTTTTACAGAATGAATCGGAGGTGGCGAACAAGCAAATAACAAGACAAATACCGATGATGTCGCCGCCGCTGGAAACACCAGGGGCGACGGCGACAGAGGAGAGGGATTAGGCGTGAAACCTTTTTTTAAGGTCCAGACTTTCCAAGTTTTGGGTCCTATACCATCTAGAATTTTATTATTAGAAGTGAACTTATGAGCCCAATACTTACGAGCCTGATAACACAAAACTTTAATACATTCTAATATAATTGTAAAGTTCAAAAATAATTTTTTTTAAAAGTTCTACTCCGTACAAAAGTAAAGGTTACATGATGTGACTATACTCTGTATAATTTTATTTAATGATTAATAATGAAAATAAAAAAAGAGAGTAAAAATAAAGTTTAACGGTGTAATCTATATATAGAGAACATAGTTTTATGATGGAGTGAGTATTTGATCTCTTCTATTTTTTCAGTATTTTGTTTCTTTACTTATTTACTCCGTATTTTTAAATTTTTTGTGCATGTATGGTGAAAAAAATGACAGTTGGCTGGGCAATGGATTTCTACACTGACGATTTTCCATATAACTGCATATTTTTTGGGCTTTTTAGTCTCGTATTCCCTTTCATGATTGGAGTGGTTTCCGCATGTGCAAAGGGTACTAATTGATTCTCTTTAGATTTTTTATTCATAACTCTTTTTTTTTTTTGAAGTTTATTCATAACTTAATTGGTTGCAATTTGCAAATAAATGGACAATATTATGTATTGTGGTAGAATAAATCAATAAAGTAACTTGTATCCCAAAAATTATACCCTAAATTATGCATTCTTGATAGAAATTGGGATGGGTATGGACAGCTGGATTGAGTAATAAGACACTTGGGCTGAACCACATTAAAAAATTGAATCCATCCGATTAGTTAGTTCAACTCAAGAGCTTATATACCAATTATTTTCCTCACACTTTTCCGATGTGGGATACTCTTAACACTCCCTCTCAAGTGGACAACCGGGCCATTTTGAATCTAACCGGTTGACCAGTTGCAAATGAACTCCCATTCCCTTGACTTTTTTTTGAGCGCCAACACCTAAAGGACCACGAGCCGCTGGGTATGGACTTCCAGACGAGCAATCGTGTTAAACGAGCCACAGACCGTTGAGTACATACTCCATATGGACAACTGGACTAAAGACTAACGGGTCGCTAGGAATGAACATCTAGACGGACACCATGACAAATCGAAATTGTTGAGCCAAAATAAGAGTGCATTGAGTCGCTCTTCTCATATACGGCCTTTAAAACTTGCAAGAATCCGAACAACCTCAGGAGTTATGGGCTCTGTCTTGTCCTTTTTGTCGTCGACCTTTGCGGCCTGCTCCCCAATTGAACTCATAAGGTTCGTGTCACGACGTGTCTATGACCTCAAGTTTTTAAAAAAATTGTTGTCATCCATGGTGTGATTTAGATAATCTTTGGGGAAGCCCGAGATAGAGTGCCTCGATTGGAAGCATTGGGAGCTTGAACCATTAGACATTATGGTGAAATTACGTTTCTTTGAATTTTTCTAGTTCAAACATCAAATATCAACGGACTTTCTATGAGACATTTTGAGTAATATAGATTTTTTGTATAAATAGTACTCCGTATAATAATAGAATGGATTTGTATTATATTATTATAATATGAATAATATATAATATTGTCTATAATATACCTATACATGAATTTAGAAGATATAAAAGTAAATAAGTATATGAGAAATTGAGAAGTGAAGAATTAGGAGAGTAGAGTATATGAGAAATTGAGAACTAAGAGCTATGTGAAATTTAGAAGAGAAATGAGAGGTATTTATAGAAAAATGAACCCTCTACGACACCCCCCCCCCCAAGGCTACTTCAACTTGAAAAAACAAACAAAAAATTAAACAGCCTGGAACTGGCCGGTTTCGGTACCAAACAGAATCGAACCGGTACCGTCTAGCCCGAACATGGTACCGGTTCCCATCCTCACTGCCTGCCGGTTTAGATTTTGGTCCCGGTTCAGAACTGGTACTGTGTCTACCTCTATCGGCCACTATACCTACTCAAAGAGTGGCTAGAAACCCTCCGTGGTTCACACTATGTAGCGTTGGCAAATATCTATATGAATTTATATACACAGAGACGATAATGGTCTTTAAACTCTGTAACTTCAGAGACGTTCACAGACAATTATATTATCATCCGTGTGTATACAAATTCACAGACAGTGTCATCTATAGTGTTAACATCTTGGTGTTGTCCTACCATTTTTGACTCAAATATTACCGTCAAAATCCGCTTGTTTGTGGTTAACCAATATCAACCACGAAAATCAGTCTCCAACACCCAGTAGGTGTTTCGAAACATTTTTAACAATGCTTCTAGAGAGAAGTAAAATGATATCAAAATATCAAAATTTGCCTGTCTGATATTATGAGTTTAAAATAGTGTGACGAAAATATAACAATAAATATAAATGGTGATGACAGTGTGACGGTGTAGTGTAGTATAGTAGAGTGGTTGTAAACCACTGGTAATGATTTATTATGTGAGAAAAGTACATTTTATGATTGATAAAATGAGTTCAATATGTTTAAAATTGCTGGAAAGAATGCATTTTTCTCACATAATAAATCATTTTTTGGTTTGAAATTGCAACATACAGTCATGGCTTGGTTTTGATTATGCTATTATAATATAAAAATGATATTTTTTATCATAGGTATGACACTCGCGATTGCTGTAGGCGTTACTGCACTTGTGTTCGTTGCTCTTACCTTGTATTCATCATTCTTGGCTAAGAGAGCAGTAAAGGCCCATTACTTGCTATCCGTTCTGGCTCACTTCTTCATCGCCGCTCTCGTGGCGCTTATCCTCTATCTTTACATTAAGGCATGTATAATACTTCCCCCTCCCTAAATGTTTACCACATTTCAAAAAAAAAAAAGAGACAAAATATTAAGTTTTTTGAATTCATTTTATTTAAATATTGGTAGAGAAATAAAAAGTAAAAATTACACCGAAATAGTTTCCAAGGGCGGACCTAGGGTGGTGCAAGTGGGGTCACTTGCACCCTGATCCGGTAACGTATCGGGATAAGGAAGGATTAGAACCTTCGAGCTATGGATTTAGGGAAAAGGAAGAGAATAGAAAATCGCACGACACTTTGTTCGGCGGAATAGAAGAACGAGAGGGAAGAGGAAGAGACTAGGGTTTAGGGAAAATGATTTCTTATTAATTGAATAATAATTTTATGAGTAATGGCTACATATATAGATGGTAGATCTAGAGAATCTTAACCATACAAGGTAACTAAATAAACCATAATACTAATAATCTAATATAATTATATTTCCTAATAATAATATATATAATTATCTAACCATAAATAATGAAACTACCTTTAATAATAATAATAGTAATATAATAATAATGGTAAATAACTAAATATAAACCCGTATCTCACCCACTCCAAAAAAGTTTATTTATTAGTAGTAGTATATGTAATCAGGTATTATATGTAGACTAAGAGCGTCCAAGAAAAGTATATTTATATGTGATTAGGTGTTATTCTTTGATTTGCAAAACTGATTTTATAGTTGTGTACAATTTTTTTTTAATTCCTTTAGATTTGGAAAATTGATTTAACTTTCATTATGAAACTTAATTATAAAATGTTCAAAGTTTTTTGAAATGTATAAACAAGTTTAATTGCTTTAAAAAGATTCCTAAAGTATACTTGGTATTTGAAGAAATGTCTAGAATTAGTACTTTAGTTGTTTAGTTTTTTTCTTTTTTTGGTTAAAATAATGAATGTATTATATTTTTTATACAATATTTTAAAAATATTACATACCACTCACAATATTAATCTCGAAATGATATTTATTGATACTTTTTTATCTTTAAGGTTTTAGATTTATTGCTATACAAATATCAACATTTTCCTTTTGTGCACAAAATGTGAACTCATTCACTGAAATACCTGAGTCCGCCACTGATAGTATCTATTGGTTACACCAAAATGGAGTATTTAATTATTAATCGATCCTTCCGTCCAACAAAACCTTTATTTTTTCTTTTTTCATCCGTCTCAAAAAACTTTTCTCATTTCTACTAAAAAGTCACTTTTACCCCTATTAATTCTTAACATACCTATCACATCACACTTTTTCACTACTAATCTACCCACCACATTTACTTTTATCTATCACATCCAATGACATTTTTGGAAAGTCAACATCAAAATACACTCATATTAAATCCCTTAAAATTCAAAACAATAAAATGTTTCGTGGGACGGAAGGAGTATAATTGGATATGGGGAACACATTTTGTTCCTAAGTTATACTCTCTACTACAATATTTTTGCAACCATGATACACTTGCACTAAAAAGTGTACCCCAAAGTTACCCCAAAGGTATACACTAACATTTTGATGGTTCACACCGACACAAAATGATGGTGCGTTAACAAAAGTTTCCAGTAATAACATTTTCTGTCTGTGTGAACTACCACCGTACCATAGCATTACACTGATATAAAATGATCGATGGTGCAACAAATTGGAGTATAAATCTTTTGGTACAAACAACTTAATCCATATTTTTGGGTGATACGTGTGCAGATGTCCCATCCTCATATGGAAGGCACTATAGAGATGATATGTGGGTATGTGGGAGCGCTCATCTTTTCCGGGGTCATCATAACCAATACCCACCGCTCGGCCGCCTCAAACTTCAGGTACGTAGAGGCAGCTTGTCAAATGTATTTCCACTACCCGCTCTCCGACGCTTCTGTGCTCTGGGGACGAGTTGAGGACTCCCGAAGAGTTATCCGAGCTAGGAAACAAGGTGTCTGGAATGGGGCTCCTCGCTCCGGAGGACCACCGGTTGTTGCATTATGAGCTTACAATATCTAATTTCAAGATCAAATTTTATCATTTTATTTGCTAGATTTTGTTACTCATTCGAGAAATAGTTAGATGTTTGTTCTGTAAAACTTTTTGATGTGGTTTTTCAAACATATATCCCTAAATTAAATTAGAAATTTTTACACTAAATAACACTAAAACTTAAGTCATTTCCCTAAATAACACTTAAACTGTTTTATTCCCTAAATAGCACTTAATAATGTCCATAATGTCCAGTGATGGCGAATATTTGCTTGAATAATGACTAATGTATAATGACTAAAAGTGCTACATTGGGAAGAAAAACACATGTGATGCTATTTAGGGAAAATTCATTATCTTTTAGTGCTATTTAAGTAAAATCCTCATTAAATTATCACTCTCTTTACTATTGAGGGTTCATATATATAACATCTGTTTGTGTATGCATTTTTATTGTTTGTGTATGCATTTTTATTGATAAATTTATTTGATACAATAAAATATGCATGCACATGATCACTTGTTTTATACTCCATTCGTCCCTGAAAAAATCTTTCTTCTTTCTTTTTTTTCACCCGTCCCAAAAAACACTTCTTATTGTTAGGCCCCAAGTGTAAACAAATGGAAAAGAAAGAAAAAGAGCACACAAAATATTTAACGTGGTTTGGCACCTCAAGACCTACTCCACGACCCCCTCTGGGATAAAATCTCACTAGTAATTTTTGCACGGAAAATTTACAAACCATCTCCAATATTTGACACTCACAACCTAAAATCTAATACACAATTATATAGATTGAAGGATTGTGTTGTGTGATGAAAGCCTATACCCCCTCTCTATTTATAGGCTTCAATCCCTCCTTAATTTTCTTATCCCACCGATGTGCGACTTTGAAGTAACACTCAACAAATCTCCCCTTAATTCAAAGTCCTACATCATTTGCGATTTCTACAGCAACACTCCCATCCTGCAGATTCTTCTGTCCATAAATGGTCATTTGGTTGAGTTTTGTGTTTGACATGTTTGAAGAACCAAGAATCATAAACCTTGAAATCGTTGTTAAAACTTCGAAGTAATGGTACCAAAATGATCTATGAACCTTGGAGAATCTTTCTATATACTTCAATTGAAGTTTGGTGACTAAAAATGACATTTACGAAAGTTGGCTCGAGATAGAAGACGATGCAAAATCGATTTTTCATAAATAAATCGATTAGACTTTCATCTGCGGAAGAAAACGAATCCAGCAGAGGAAAAATCGATTTTTATACTATAAAAATCGATTATTAAGTATAAAAACCGATTATGTAATAATAAAAATCGATTTTTACATTTTTCGACTGAAGAAATTGAAGCCAGCAGCAATTAATCGATTTTCCTATCATATATTAATCGATTATTGTTCAAAAAACATGATTTTGAGGTTTGAAATCCTATTTTTGATACCAATTGATTATGATCATTGTAAGGATGATTTTTCATGATAAAAATGATGTTTTTGGTAAATAAAACCTTATGTGATGCATGACGGTAAGTTAGAGTGTTAATACTCGAAACTAGGTCGTTATTTGTTATTGGATGTTATGTTGATTGATGAGTATGATGAATGATTATTATGATGATAATGATTTGGTGAACCCACTGATTAAAATGATTATTGAGGATTAAACTATGAATTGAAATTAATACATTGGTGATTATGAAATGATTTGGATTGTAAGGATATCTAGAAGAACTCTAAGATATACCTAGGTTGACGTTGGTTTCTAAGACCATCTAGAAGACCTCTAAGATAGCTTAGAAATAGGCCCTGTGGGTATAATTATGAATATTCGGTGCCCTGGGTTAAAACGTACGTACGTGATCTACAAACCAAACTTGAGGATCACTCGTTTGGGGATACCACCCAACCCGACAGTGAGCATTCCGTTGTTCGGTTTTTGGTTGACCTTAATCAAAGGCACGGTTATCTTAAATTAGGCCTAGCTTACGAATTAGATAAAAGTACCTTAAACTAGAATATAGTTTAATAATTGATTAGAAATATCTTAAACTAGAATTCGTTTAAGGATTGATAAATATGAAAGAGATTGACCTTAGACTAAGAATAGTTCAAGGATATTGTTGAATAACAAATGATAAATATTGTATTATGAATGATGAATAAAAATGTTGAAAATTAAATATTGATTATTGAATATCTGAACTGAACATTATGTGCATGATATCAAATGAATTGATTATGAATTGGAATTCAGTTTATATGGATGTTCGACGCTTTAGATATGCTTACTCAGCTTTACTGCTGAGCGTGTAGTGTATTTTATTTGCTACACGCAGGTTAATAAAAAGAATGATATGACGTGATCCTGGAGGCAGATGGAGGCAAGACAGTCAGACTGGATGTGATGATTTTGAATTGAAGAATATAAATAATTTTTGTTTGTGATTATGATATGTTAAGCTTCCGCAATATTGAAAACTACATACTGTTTCTGTTATGAAAATAATTATTATTATAAATAAAAGTGTTTAAAAAGTTTAAAATTTTTACGATTACAAAGTTAATACTTTAGCCTGAAAGGAGCTGCAGACCTGGACAGATTAGGGTGTTACAAAAATGGCTTGTTATATGTTAGAATTTGACAAGGCAAACAAAATTTTAAGCTCCAAGGGGCTTGAAAATTTTTGACGAGCTTGCTAAAAAATAAAAATAGCTTGCTACTCAAGCTTGGTAAAATATAGCTAGCCAAAAACAAGAACAAAAATGTTGATTGAGTTACTTTTTTTCATGAGCCACAACAAATTTGTTCCCTCACGTTCAGTGCCACAACGCATGAAGAAAAATAAAATTTTTCTTTATGTTTTAAAGAAATCGCATCACAACAAGAAGTAAAACATAGTTCTTATTACCAAAATATAAGTTTCATGTTTTTATTTCTAAAATAGAAGTTTGAACTCTGACACACTGACATTATATATTGTCATTCCACAATTTTCTTGTTACTCCATATTTTATGTTGACAGTATTGGTATTGTAATTACTCCGTCCGTTCTAAAAAAGAGTTCCTATTTTGACCATGTGTAAAAATAAGTAATTGTTAAATTTTAGTTGACTTTCAACTGTGTTTGATGTGATGTGTAAAAGTAAGATGTGATTGATAAATTATTAGAGAAAAAATATGATGTGATAGGTAAGGTATGAAAAGATAAGCGAAAAAGTGGTTTTTTAATAGAATGTGAAAATGTTTTGTTGGAAGTGTAAAAAATGAAAGATGAAGAGTTTTTTAGAACGGAGGGAGTTGAAATAAAAAAATATGGAACCCTGAATTTAGTACTTTATATTTTACTCTTATTTTAGTACTCCCTCCGTCCCATAAAACACTTCTCATTTCTATTAAAAAGTCATTTTTATCCCTTATTTTTTCATACCCTACCTATCACATCATACCTTTTTACTAATAATCTATCCATCAAATTCTACTTTTACCCATCACATCAAAGGAAATTTTTGGAAATTCAATACCAAAATACACTCCCTTAAATCTCTTCAAAAAGCAAAACATCCCATGTTTCATGGGACGGAGTGAGTATATTTTCTTATGTTTTACTTCTATTTAAGTTGATTTTTAATCTTTATTCTACTCCATTCGTTCCAGTTCAAATCACATGTATCGGTTTATAGTGTTTGACTTAGGTTATTTTTAATACTCCCTCCGTTCCACAAAACTCTTCCTCTTTCGTTTTTTTTTGCTTTCCACAAAACACTTCCACTTTCTATTAAAAAACCACTTTTACCCTTACTTTTTCATACCCTACCTATCACATCATACTTTTTCACTAATAACCAAACTATCACATCTTACTTTTTCCTATCACATCAGGGGCAAAATTGGAAAGTTAACCAAAATTACACTTTTCTTATTTTTCTCCAAAGTCAAAACCGAAAGGGTTTTGTGGAACGGAAGGAGTATAAATTTTTAGAGAATTGGAATGTAATTAAAATTGGAGTATTAAAAAGTTACATCAAAAGTTCAACGAAACAAGCGATAACATGATTGTATAGTATTTCGTATTATTTTATGAGAAATTTATCTAAATATGACTAAAACATAATGACTTTCATACTATAAGACCATATGTTTTTATTTCTTAATCTAGAACTTTTGGTCATTAATTATTAACTAGTCACTATTCAAGTAAATGCTCATAATTATTGGACATCTAGGTTGCACGGGTTCGGCAGTTTGGTGCCGCCTCCCGCTCCGGAAGCGACGCGGGGACGGAATCGCCGGCGGCGACGGCGACCGGCGAACCGGATTCGCATCTAAAGCTTCGGAATCGTCGGCGTATTCAATAGGAACGGATCCGAGAATTCTGAGACGGATCCTGCCGGCCTCCGCTCCGGAAGCAGACGGAACAGATCCAGAGCAGATGGAACTGATCTGTACCTTCCGAACAGATCCGCCGATCCGCCCATCCGCATCCGCCGATCCTTACCTTTGCAATTGTTTTGTACTTTTGTTGGAGACAACTACGTGGTCCAGAATGTTTCAACCCAATTTTTTCTGCTACAGTGCTACGGAGTGTATAAGTATAGAGAATTAAAAAAAATTGGGTTCTTACCCACGGTAAATGTTTGGGTTCTTAGACTTCTTACCCATTTTAATTAAGTAGAATATTATTTTTAACATTTACATGCCTATATTTAATATTTTAATTATCTTTTGTTGCCGAGTCCTTGCCGTCCCCGCATCCTTAAATTTTAAAAAATGCCGATTCCCGAATCCGTCCCCGTCCCCGTATATGTACCCGCACCCGTCCCAGTGCAACCTAGTTGGACATTATTCCTCCACCAGACATTATTAAGTCCTATTTAAGGAATAAAAAAGTTTAAGTCGTACATTAGGAAATAAATTATGTTTTAGTCATATTTAGTTCAAAATTTCACTTTATTTTAGAATGGAGAGGCCTTCTAATTAACAATACCTACAAAAGGGTAGAAATGTTATGCAATATAAAAACAGCAAACATGCTGCAGGGATGTAATGGTCATCTTCAGCAAGGGGACCTGTAGCCAAGTCGTTGATATAGTATATGATGAGCCCGCAAAAGATGAGCACTCCCACAAACCCCCATATAAAGGGTAAAATGCTTCCCACATGAAGAAAAATCTGTACATGTTTGGAGAAAAACATTTGAATTATTATATAATTATATATATATATGACGAATTGAACTACTAGCTAGGTGCATGCCCACATATCCATTACTAATGAGAAAAATACAATATGTGTGTGTGAGACATGCATGCATATGATTATACCTTGCTGAGGGCAAAGATGATGAGCGCCATAATGAGAGCAATGGAAGCACAGACCGAGAAAGGACCAAGAAAGAAGAGACGGTGGTCTCTCTTGGCAGCCCAGAATGTGTACAAAGGTGAGACCTAGGAATGCAATTGCCGTCACACATACAGCAATCATGATCGGCATTCCTATATGTGTGTGTGTGTGTGTGTGTTATTTTCGCAATTTCAACGAAAAAGAGAGTTCTGATTGTCAAATAATAATAATAATAATAATAATAATAATAATAATAATAATAATAATAATAATAATAATAATAATAATAATAATCTCAAGAGGATATATGAGCACCTATTTTATATGTGCAAACCAATCCAATCGTGAAAGCCAATGCCACAGTAAAGATGCATAAAAGAACAATGTTCCATGGATCCTTCTCGGCGCAGTCTGTCATTGCTATGCCAACTGTCATTTAATTTTATAACGGTACACGCACAGAAAAAATTGACAAATTAGGGTGTGTTTGGTTACAAGACAATATTTTTGGAGAAGGGAACATTATTTTCAAGAGAAAATGATTATCAAGGGAATTATTTAATTTTCCCAACGCTTTTCTAGATCTACAATACGTTTCTTATACTCTTTATTTACTTTTGTCTTGTTAATGTTCTTAACTTGTACTCCTGATACTGATAGTTTATTAGAATATTTCAATTAGCTATATTATTATTTAGTAGTTATTTATTACTCCCACCGTCCCAAAAAGATTTATACGTTTTGACTAAAGTTGAAATTAAGGGAGGGATAATTTTGTGTTGACTTTCCAAAAATATCCTTGATGTGATAGGTAAAAGTAGGATGTGATGTGTAGATTATTAGGAAAAAAGTATGATGTGATAGATAGGGTTTGAAAAAGTAAGGGGTAAAAGTGGTTTTTTAATAGAAATGGGTAGGAGATTGTGGGACGCAATTTTTCAGAAAGGTGTAAATTTTTTTGGGACGGAGGAAGTATTATTTATTAATATTCTATAGATTAGGGTTTTTAGTATGGGGCCCAAACACATTAGGTTAATTAGGGTTTCTCGTATCTCTATATATTGTACTCTCGTATTATTATTATTATGGAATCAATCAATAATCAATAATTTTCTTAATCTCTAGTCTCTCTTTTCTTGGAGCCCGAAAACGCTCGAAGTTTTTCTTCTCTCTTTGTTTCCCCTTTCTTGGAGACGCTCAAAGTTCTTCCCTATCCCAATACGAATTGTACAAGATTCGTATCAATTGATTCTTTCATTGAGAGAACTAGCCAAAAAAAACAAAAAAACAACTCATTTTTTTCTTCACCGCAGGCTAGGGTTTTACCCTAACTACTGCCCGCCGTCCAAGTTTTGCTTCCCGTTGCTGCGGTAAAAGACCGCCACCATAGGCGAAAGATCATCCCTGCTTGCCGCAAAATAAGAACAGAGCATTGTTGTTGCCTTTAATCCAAAAGTCACAAAGCCAACATCCAACAAAATTGGGGGCATCCTATTCCGCCGCCGTCGTGGGATGAGATCTTTGCAGCAGTAAAAGGGTGATTAGCACAACAGGAAAAAAAATTGGTGCCCGCAACATTCCTAATTTTTTTTCTTGAGTTAATTGGCACCGATCAGGAACCTTGCTTCGGCCAACCGCTCGAAAATTGTTTTGTCCCAATTCTTAATTGCTGCGATACTGTTCTAGCCAACCAGCGAGAGACACATAGCCACTGCTACATGCCGGAATTAGGCTTATCCAATTTGCCTCTTGCAGGTTCTCTCCTCTATTCCTTCAATTAATTGGATCTACGACTGTCTTGGATCATAGAGCACTCGGTAGAAGAAAAAAAAGAAAGGAAAAAAAAAGAGAGCAGATTCAACTCATTGCTGGCCAAGAAAAAAATTAGGGAGTATATCTTTTAATCACAGATCACAGTCCATCCGTCCAAGTAGGTGACACGCCACTTTTGCAATTCATATAACTTTGGATAATAATTCAGAGTATTTTTTCTAGTGGAGAATTACTGCGCACCATCCCAAAAAAAAGTTGGTTCAAATTCATTTGCTCCGCGACTAAGGTTTTTTGGTGATATTTTTGTGTGGAAGTGTTTATTTTGAAAATGGACTCTGCATTTGACAAACGGAAAAAGTTTTGTATGGATAAATTGAGCATGATGAAGGAGTGTGTATGATTTTTGATCATGTCTATGAGATCAATATGAAGCTCAGGTCGATCCATAATTTTAAAGGACAAAGTGATTATGATGCGCTCGACGTATGAAATATTTTGCTCGGTACAGGATTTAGTTCGTGGTCTCCCAATTTTGTCGTGTTTGATTCCTTCAGAGTTACAAAATTTTAGAACAAACATGTTGGGCGCTATAAAAGTTCTCATTGATAGTCTGCCTTCTGTGCCAAATCTGGTCTCTACAATAATTGACCGAAATGCTGAAGCACATGATCACGCATCCAAGAAGGAACCAAGCGTTGACTCACAAGGTGGAGATGATGTGGACATCCGGCATGGAGCCATAAACAAAGATAATGGGAGGTCCAGCGTTGTGGAAAAAAAAGAAAGTCCTCTTGCAGAAGATGTTGTTAATGTTGACAAGCTAGATAATACTTTTCAGGAATTTTCTACCTCAGCTGGTGTGGTCATTGCAGAGTATGATATTCTAAAAAGTGTTGACAAAGTGACAGATGGAGATGGTACACAAGCACTGTAACGCCCCGAAAATAGGCCTATCAGTATTAATTAATTGATAATTAATTAATTACTGAGAAGGACCCAAAAATAAATAAATTCTAAAGTCTGTTAATAATTAATAAAAATTATATCGTTGTGTAGAGTTTGACTGTCTGACCCCAACGGTTCAATCGGATTTCAAATTGGAGAAAGTTGAACCAAAAAGTGTACCCCAACTAGGACTAAAATTAGTCCTAATCAGAGGACACACCAAACGGCGCCCTGTTCAATTACGCCGATTCCAAAAATACGAATCAGCTCAATCAAGGAACTCCTGTGTCTTCTTCTTCTTCACTGGCTTATTTAAAGAGAGCCAATTCTCCCATTTCTCCACCAAAGTCTATAATTCTTCATCCTATTCTGTTGTTCTGAGAGAGGAGAATACACTGGTGTTGACAGCT